TAGTGGAAGCTTTTACGGTCGAACGATAGATGGCACGACAAGTTTTTTCGAGCTTCAAGTGGCCTCCGATCAAAAGGCGAGCAAAGTATGGCCTCCAAAATCCAGGAAGCAATTTTTTTTTTTTTTTCCCGTAGCCCTCCCGCTATCTCAGCGCCTGGCGCCACTTGTCCGCGGGACCCACGGGACGCTGAGGAGTCCGCGGAGTAGTCCTAGCAGTCCTAGGCCGCTCCCCGCAGCGTCACTTTGTTCCTCGAGCACGTTGTTCGTTCACGCCGTCAAGCCGTCTTATTCCGCATCGAAGTTGCAAAATGTCGCGGGGAAACTACTGCGCGAAGACTGTCAAGGAGAAGGTGGAGATTTTGCGAAAGGTTGACCAAGGGAACTCGAGCAAATACGAAATTGCGAGGAAACACGGCATACCTCCAAGCACGTTGTCAACCTACATTTGCAACAGGACGGCCATTGAAAACGCCTATGAAGCCGAGGATTTCGGCGCCAGTCGAAAAAGGCTAAGGACAGCGAAGTTCCCGGAACTGGAGTCAGCTTTGATTATCAGGGTTAAAGAAATGAGAGCCCAGAGTATCGCATTGAGCGGCCCTATCATCGTGGCCAAGGCAGCCCATTTCGCCCTGCGCTTGGACATTGAAGACTTTGTCGCCTCCGAGGGATGGTTTCATCGTTTCAGGGAGCGGCACAATCTTGTATTTCGCACGTTATCCGGCGAGGAAAAGGAAGTGGACGCCGAAACATGCGCTACTTGGAGAAGCGACACCCTGCAGCAGTACTTGGAGAGCTACTCACCACAGGATGTGTTTAACGCTGACAAGACAGCTTTATTTTTCAAGTTGCAGCCAGACAAGACTATCACCTACAAGGGAGACAGCTGTGCCGGCGGCAAGCGCAGCAAAGAGCGTGTCACTGTTTTGGTCGCCGCAAATATGACCGGTACGGAAAAGGTCCCCCTTTTTGTGATTGGCAAAGCACTGAAGCCACGGTGCTTCAAAAACATTTGCTCACTGCCGACGGAGTATGCCGCAAACAAGAAAGCCTGGATGACAGGTGACCTATTCAGGAAGTGGCTACTGAAATTCGACAGGCGAATGGAACTGGGCGGCAGACGCGTTCTTCTTGTCGTCGACAACTGTTCGGCGCACAAAGTCGACGTTGAGCCGAGAACAACTAAGTTGGTGTTTCTTCCGGCAAATACGACTGCGGCCCTACAGCCAATAAACCAGGGTGTGATAAGGAACATTAAGTGCTTTTATAGGCGTCACTTGCTGGAAAGAATGATTTTGTGCGCGGGCGACAGGAAGGACTTCGGCATTACGCTGCTCACTGCCATGCACATGTTGGTGCGCGCATGGGAACAGGTGACCGCGACCACAATCGCAAACTGCTTCCGCCTAGTGGATTTGCAGCTGGAAGTGCGCAGGATAGTTGCGACGTCGACGTGGATGGGGCTGAGGAGCTCATGACAGTGGCATTGCGCGACACTCTTCGGGGCGTACGTTTTGCCGATTATGTTGAAGTTGACACCAGTGCATCGGTGTTTGGTGCCCTGACTGATGAGGACATTATCGCTCAAGTAGCCGGTGCGCAGCCTGATGCTGAAGAGCCAGAAGGTGAGGAAGACGAAAATGACGAAGCGCCTGTGCGCCCTGTGGCGTACAGGCGCTTCCTATGGGGTGATGCTATTACATTACCTATGCTATACATTACCTATGGGGTGATGCTATTTTGATTACTCTAGAAGCATACTGTTAATTACAATTATGGATAGTAATGAGCGAAAATTGAACAGAATATCCATTGTAAGTGCTGGTCTGTTTTCTTATCTATATAATGCCTAAAAATTAATAAAAATAGCATCACCCCATACAGAAAGCCCTCAGCATTGGGGCTATGCACTTATTTTTTGGATCTGGCTTGATTAAGTTGCCAAAAAGCCCCCAATGAAGTGCATAATTAATTAAATTACAGATGTTAATATCTTTTTATCCACTGAAGCTATTTCAGAAACAATTACATATTTGAAATCAGCATGAAAAACTGTCCAAGATGGTGAGGTTTGGTCAAGATTGAGCCAAAAACAGAAAAAAAAAAAAGTGCCGCCATATCCACGAAGTGAATGATGATGAGTGGGCGAAGCTCCGGAGGTAAACCTGGTAAACCATGAATCCTCTGTACATTTTGCCCACTCGATTTTATTACATCGCTCCCCCTAGCGTACGTCGCCGCACTAAATCGAACGATTGCCTTCAACCAATGACACGCGCCATATGTGACATCATTCCTATTTTATAAGATCTCGCGTCTTTCATCAACTACAAGTACCGCTTTCTAGTTTATAACATCTTGCATCTTTTCATCATCAGCCACAAGTACCACCATCTAGTAAACACTACAAGAGCTAAACGAGAGGTGGCTACATACAGGAGACAGTACCGCCATCTAGTGAACACTGCAAGAACTAAACTAGAGGTGGCTACATACAGGGGACGGTACCGCCATCTAGTGAACACTGCAAGAACTAAACTAGAGGTGGCTACATACAGGGGACGCACAGCCCACGCCCTGAGGAGCTTCGCCCCTAAAATTTAAAGACCCATGTCCCCCCTTAATGTGGCGCGTCTCTTCTTCAGCTTTGAAGAGGGTGAAGAGGATTCCCTGCGCCGCGTCCGCGCGCTGGAACAGAGAGCCGCAGCTGTGGCATTCAGAGAAAAGAAGCAGATGGTCATCACCGACTTTTTTGGCCAATAAATATTTTTCGTGCCCCCACCCCCGAAATCCACCCATTTTTGCTCACTTTCATTATTTCGAATTTCGTTAAATTCGAAATTGCTCAGCGTTCCCGTGGAATTCGAATTAACGAGCTTTTACTGTATTATCCTCTTCACTACTGAACAAAGATTTAGGTGAGAGAAAAAAGATGCTGTAAGAAAGACGGGTACATTTTACAAAAATATTATGGGTACATTTCATGTGGATTCCACAAGTGCAAAAAACACTGATGAAAATTTCGTTTTTAAGAGGTAAAAATGGGCGTCCAATAACGAGGACTTCAACCCTTTCCTTACTGAAGTCAAGCTGAGCTCATTCACAAGGTCTGTACAGCTCCAACCGAAGACGAGCTTGGCTCGTTCACGCAAGGAGGCTATCCCAATTCATTTTGTTTAGTTCTTCTTCACTTGAATATACAATGTAGTAAAAAAAATGGAAAACATGCTGTTGCATGTTGCATTTGCAACGTATCGTTTCTGGCTGTGGGAGAAAGGTCGATTGCAAGTATGGTGAAAGCACTGCTGATAAGTTAAAGTTCGGGCTTTTAGTGCTATAAGAATATTTCCCATATTTCCAAGAGACCAGTAGTATAACTTGTGTTTGCACTACTTTCTATGCAAATAAAATACTGAATTCACAAACTCCTGAGCCTAAGCAGCTGCATAATTTGTCCACCGCGTTTGTTTTGTTTGCTCACCAGCCGCTTATGCTGACTTCTGCTGCTCACTTCAGGAGAGTGGGTAAAGGAGAGTGGGTAAAGAACACTGTGAGAGACTTCGGTGCGAGTTTTCAATGATACTGAGCTGTTTGCGGTAGTATAATTTGCTTGAGAAGTTGTTTCCACAAATGTGAACATCGGTAGTGAACAGGTTATAAAGGTTCTTTGAAGTGTGACAACGAAGTGTGGCAACATCAATTGAGTGAATACAGTCGCACCCCTTTATAAGAGACACTTTAGTAAGTAAGGCTGATGGGTGTAAGAGACAATTGAAATATGCGTTGATAAGAGAAACCATACATGGCACCCTGCTTATAAGAGACACCTCATATAAAAGACAATTGCTGCCAGGTGCGTGTCTCTTATGAATGACTAAAAAAAATCCAAAATCTGTCCTGTGATGTCCACTTTCACTGCTATTCACTGATGTTTCTGTCTTTCAAAGCTCTTGCATCTGGACTTTGGCTTTATGTCATGAAGCGTGACATTGGGGAATGAAGATTTGTAGTTTTCTGCTGTATCAAGAGACTGAATGCGACGCGGGCGCCACCCATTGTCAAAATAAGGTGGAATGGGGCCCTTGCTGCCTCCTCGGCTGTGGTAAGAGCTCCGTGTGCCAATCACTGTGTTGACTTGCTTAGGTGAAACACGACTACTGTATTCAAACACTCGATAGCACTGCACCAGTCAATGACTTGAGCATGAACCTCCGAAGCAAACAGCTGGGTCAGAACTCAACTTTCACAATTCCCTCAGCATGCACATAGAGCATGCACATAGGCACGTTCCCAGTCTATTGGCATGTTCTCTGCGCTGGCTTATTACAAAATAAAAACACAGAATGTTATCAGGCATATCAAGAAAAAAAGCAAACACTTATTACATCAACTCGATCGTGGATAGCGACTATGCAGTACAATGCACATGCATTAGACAATGTCATGTGCAACAATAGCGAAAGTTGGGCTAGCTGGTGGTTCATACTTGGGAAGTAAAAACCGTGCAAAAATATAGACAAGGACAGAGGAAGAGACGTCAGCGCGGTGTCGTCTCTTCCTCTGTCCTTGTCTATAGTTTTGCGCTGTTTTTACTTCCCAAGTCATGTGCAACAGTAGATACAAAAGCACCTTCCTGCAACGTATCTTGCCACAGCTATAAAGTTCCCATTTACAGAAATCGTAAAGCAAACTCTTTCACTCAGTTACGGGTGCATGCACATTCATTGTTCTGTACCAAGAGGTATCCCGTAGACAGAGTGCTCAGAAGGTTGTTTTAGACGAGACTTTGAAGTCTAACTAAATAACTCATATGTGTGCAACGAATTATCTTTTTTTTAATTAACATTACTGCACATGAGCATTCACTGCTTAGGTTACAACAGAAGCATGGGCACTGATGCTGAGAGTCACACGCACAAGGTAGCACTTAGATGCTGAACAAAGTAATTAGTACTGTGATGAGCGCAAAATATTTTTTGGGGGGAAAGAGAAAGTGTACCCACCTCTTTTTGACTGCAAGTCTTGGGCCAGAACTTTAGTAATCCCTTCATGACCTGCATGGGAACAGAAGGGAGCGGGCCCTTTATATAGGGAGTAGGTGTCAATCAAAGTTCACTGGCAGAGACATGCTATAGAAAATAAATCACACGGAGCGGGCAACGCACTTAGCCTTGAAGGGAGCGTAAGCAAGCGACAACACAAGCAGACAAATCCCGAAAGCTGAAAGAGAGAGAATAGGCATTGAGAGTGAGGAGCAGAAAGCAAAAGCTCACACTTCGCAAGGGCACATGTTTATATACTAATTCAAGAGACCCTTAAAACAAGAGATGAAGGAGCGGGCACAAACGAAAATAGCATTATTGTATACAGTGAAACCTCGTTCATGCATGCCTGCCAGGATCGCGGCGTAACTACGTACTGAATGTACAATAGGCTCATCAAACCAAACCTGAACAGACCATGAAAAAATGTTCCATTTAACGGAAGTTTGGCTTACTGAAATAAATAAGGCTGCAAAGTACCAGTAGGAAACCAATCATGCTGGAGGCAGTTCCGGTTAAGCAGCAAGCAGTTCAGCACATTTCCGTTTATTGAGTCTACTATAGCACGACAACCACAGAGTGCTAATTCGGATCTCCTGAAGTGTGCCATCCGCACCAACAAAGGAATAAAGACAGTGTCACACCAAACATTGACTGAAGTACCCACCACAAAACCATTTCTTTCTTTTTGTCAGTGTATAAACGATTCTGGCATTCTTCCACGACAGCTCAATAGTACGCAGTGGCAACTGCACGGAGCATTTAGAAACTACTGCAAGGTCCAGGACCGACAGCCGATGCAGCTACTGACAGAACAGACATAATCGGCCACTGTCTGCGACACTTGTACGGCGATGTGCTACAAAGCAAAAACTGAAACTTTTTTTTTTTTTTTTTGAATACGTTCAGTACGGTTGCAGGGAGCCGACTGTCAACCGGCTAGTTGCGTGCAGTGCTTCACCTTTTAGCCACCACCCCTTGACTGCCAAGCAGCTTGCTATAGAATACAGCTGCTCGCTTCAGACTGCACACAAATGCGGCGAGTAGCAGCATCACATTCCACAATGCTCTAGCAGTTCTAGCAGCAGTTCAAGCTGTCGCCTAATAAAAGCATGCAGTATAGTTACAACAGTATTACGCTTGCTGTAACGTAACTGTGCGTTTAGTGTGATAGCGACAATACAGCGAGGTTTCCTGGTGCCCACAAGTCGCAGCGCTAAATTCTGCGAGAGTTACTTTTGTTTCTGCAAAACAGTGCGCGCTTAAACGCAGTCCCGCACAACTAGGTCGCAGTGATTGGTGGCCCAGCACATTCATGTAGTCGCCTATTCAAAGCATGTAGTTGGCTTAAAGTGATGCTATGCCACATGCGTGCCCGAGCAGACAGCTGAAGATACTAAGATAAGGCTTTTTCTCAGTGATGAGTCATATTGACACGTTTGTCAATAGTGAACACCTTGCCTTTTGTTTCGCAATAATAACTCACAAAGGTATCACCGCAGTCACACGGCACCAATTTCAGCACTATTCAAAATGACTTGGAAACCATTTGGGGCACCTTGTGGTGCCATCCAGGGCTGAGCGGCATCACGGTACAAGAATGTCTTGATAGTATCTCAGATACTTTTCAGTATCTGCACGTCTACGTCGAGATACATTTAAAAATGTACTTGTATCTCAGTACTGAAATACACTTACGATGTATTGATTGTATCACAATACTGTGCAGGACACGAGTATGCTTTCTCTACAATGACTCGTATTCATTAGTGAATTGGGCGATATGCTTCACTAACAAGTTTCAATGCACTGCAATATTAATGACCATATAGTGCTGCACTTTCATTAATATATTTGCAGAGTATCATCATCAGCAGCAGCAACAGCAGCAGCCTGACTACGTCTACTGCAGTACAAAGGCCTCTCCCATGTTCTGCCAGTTAACCCGGTCCTGTGCTTGCTGCCGCCAATTGAACCTGCAAACTTCTTAATCTGATCTGCCCACCTAATCTTCTTTCTCCCCCTAATCAGCTTGCCTTCTCTGGCAATCCAGTTAGTTACCCTTAATGACCAGCGCTTATCCTGTCTACGCGCTACATGCCCGGCCCATGTCCATTTCCTCTTCTTGATTTCAACCATGATATCCTTACCCCCGTTTGTTCCCTAATCCACTCTGCTCTCTTGTTGTCTCTTAAGGTTACACCTACCATTTTTCTTTCCATTGCTCACTGCATCGTCCTCAATTTAACCTGAACCCTCTTTTGTAAGTCTCCAGGTTTCAGCTCCGTAGCTAAGTACCGGCAAGATACAGCTGTTATATACCTTCCTCCTGAGGGATAGTGGCAATCTACCTGTCATAATTGTGCTTCATCCCATTCTTATTCTTCTACTCACTTCAATCTCGTGGTTCGGCTCCGCGATTATTACCTGCCCTAAGTAGACATTGTCTTTTACAACTTGAAGTGGACTATTACTTATCTCGAAGCGCTGCTCTTTTCAGAGGTTGTGTGGGAATTGAGGCTGGCCCGCTGCCTTTGCGCGGGCTTTCCCGCCTTTTCTGCCATTCTCATGTCCCGACATGTCTGCCCTCCTTTGCTGTCTGCCGCGCTGGGAAGGGCGGAGTGACGTTTAACTCCCTCACCCGGTAGCGGATGTTGACTGTGGCGCCGCGCGCGGGGACTCGCAAGAGGTTTTCGCGCGCTGCGTCGGGAGCGGCGAGTACAGTCCGGGACTTCAAACGGTGAGCCACGCATTCTTTTCCGTCCGTCGAGTCCCGTCGCTCGGGGCTCGTCGGACTTCGCTGACGGCGCCTCGCGCCCGATGCGAACGCTCACCTTTTGTTGCCCCGCTGCGTACTCACGGCCGAAGGGCAGTACGGTGTCCTAGTGCGTGGCCTAGCTACGCCGACCCGTCTCCCTTCGAAGCCAACGCGAGCGCCTTTGCCCTCGCTCGAGCAACCGGGCCCCTTTGTCCCGGTGTCTCCGTGGATTACCTTTACCGCGGAGACGTGCTCGTGGCACCCTGTGTAGTACTTTGTGCCCGTGGCGTGGATAAGCCTATTTGCTTTCCCGCCGCGCCTTTTTGCAACGGGCTGTACTGCGTTTGGTGTTGCCACAATAAAGTGTTGCGACTTGAGCAGTATCGTGTTTCCCGCCACGGTGACGGTTAACGCGTGCCCTGCGGCTCGCTGAGACCGGACCCACGCTGGTGGCCGTACTCCTTCGGGATACGTGTACACCACACTGGCGCCCAACGCGGTATCAAAAGCTCTAGCTTTTGATTGCTCTTAGCGAGTCAGTTCACCTGCGCGATTCGGGCTCGTCGCAACATGGCTGCTTCGCGGGACTTTTGTCCGCTGTCCCTTTTAGCGGATGCCGCGTTGCACACGGAGGCCATTGCCTCTATTGACGGGAACCCTTCTGCACCCGTCTGTGTCGACACCCCCTATTGCGGTGACGACACGAGGCGCCTAGCCGCTCCCTTTGGAGATGGCGCGTCGCTTCGGAATGGGCCTCTTGCCTTACCCGAACGTTATTTCTGCTTCGTGGCATGCCGCGTTGCACCAAGAGGCCACCGCCTCTATCGACGGGCGCCCTTCGGCGCTCGCCTGTGTCGTCACCCCTTTTTGTGGTGAATACACTCCTACGTGGTAGCTGACGCGCTATCTCGTGCCCCCTGTTGTCTGCCGAGAACCTGGATTTCGGTGCGACGGCCGCTCGCGGTGCCTTAGCACATGCAAGCGTCGGGGGCGAAACAGCAGCTTCGCCGCCATTCGGCGAGAAGGGTGAGTCCCCATGCGGACAAACCTTGGCTGCTAACCAGGTAAGCGGCGCACCGCGAAGCGGCCGAGCGGGGGAGCTTTCCGAAGGCCACGAGGCCGAGAGCGAACCCGTAACGCCGACTCACGCGGCGGTTGCTGCGGTCCTGAGTGGGCGCGATACCAGACTCCCCCATTTGGGAGAATGGGAATTGCTTTCGGCAGCGAAGAGCTACTGAAGGCTCAGCAAGGTGATCCGTTTCTAGTCTCGGAGGGACGGAGCGCCGTATACGCTGCTTGCTTTGCGGCGGGCGCCGTTAAACCGTCTTGACGAGGCGCGGAGCGCCGTTACGCTGCTTGTTCTGTGGCGGGCGCGATTAGGGGGCTGAAACAGCGTGTGTCGCTGAGTCCCCGGCGGATTCATTTTGCTGGACCATGACGGGCTCCTGCTGGAGTATATAGCCACTGACGACGAGTCCATAGACCCGTTTAAGGTGGTTATGCCCAAAAGTCTGAGAGCCGCACTGTTGCGATCCTCTCACGACGAATCCATGGCCGGTCACCTGAGTGGCTCGAAAGTTTTTGCAAACTGAGCGATGTTGTGACCTGGCCCGGCACGAAGCGTGGCTTTTATCGCTATTCCGTGCCTGCCACGTCTGACAAACGGTTGAGCCAAGGGTTGGAAAGCCGCCCGGTCTTATGAACCGATTGTCAGTGAGCGTCCGTGGCGCGTACTAGCTGAAAGATCCCCTTTGGGAAAACTCAGCCGTGCCCACATCGCAGACCTGAAGCCCTTTGTCACGGTCTGACGAGCTCGCGCCAATGCCCTACGGCACTTCGCGCAAGCAACGGGCACACCCGGGGCGGCGGACCGCATTCGGACCCCGCACCGGTATAATCTGAGGAAGCGGTCACCTTTGTGATTTCGCGCCGGACGGCGGACTTCTCCGCAACCGAAGGCCCTCAGTTTACTGTCTAGCCTCAGTATGGGTTAGCTTCTTTACGGCCTTTTCTCGTAAAGAAGTTGACCCCGCCCTGTCTGCTGCCAGTGTTTCTTTTTTTTTGAAGTGTTCATGCGTATTTTAAGTTTTTTTTTTGTCTATTAGTAAGTGTTCTTTGTGTTTATGTTTTTGCCAGATGTTTAGTGTCAGTATGCTCTGTGTTTACTTTTTTTTTTTCGTGTTCGTTTCGTCTACCGCGAAGGGAGCTGTGTGTGACCTTGAGTGTCGGTGCTTGCCGGGAGAGAGAGAGACGAAGGACGCTTTGCGCCTACGCTCGCGCAGCTGTCGGCGGTGTGTGTGCTTCTGTGCGTGTGCAAGTGCGTAACGCTTCAGTGCGAGCCCGCGAAGAGTGCGTCATGGCTTCCCCCCATCGACGCGGACACTGGAGGTGCTGGGGGGGGGGGGGGGGGCATTGACCCACTGACGTCAGACCATCTGGCTGTGCTCTGCTCTCTGCCGTCGTCGAAGAAGCCCTGCTGCCTTTTCCACCATGGCTCCTGCGCGAGGCCAGCTGAAAGCAGCTATATGCTGCCGGCCAACGCCAGGGCGCCTCGCAGCCAATTTTGGTTCGGCCACCCTGACCACCGGAGAGGCCCGGCTTCCCGCAACGTCCAGCTCTCTCATCGAGCCAGAAGTGCGGGGCCTCCAAACAACCGAAGCGGCTTTCGTCGGACTCGCGGCTTATCAAGAGCAGCAACAAGCCATCAGTGAGCCCCCTCCCGTACCTCTGACCTCGCACTCGGGCATCGCACCCAGCGGACACTGTCACGCCCTTTTCCGCCCCTCCGCGCAGTGGACGCTATCCCCCTTCAGCACCACGAACACTAGTGCCACGTTTCTGTGCTCCCTTCCGCAGTTATGTTTATAGTGTCATGTGTTTATTTTGTTATGTTTTGTTTTCCCTTTCTAATCATTTTTTTAGCAGCAGTAGCAGGGCTGGACTGAGGTTAGCTACCGCTCATAGCAGTGTCATTTTAACTGCATGGGTGACGTCCGGCTGCCTTTTGCAGACCGGTAAAGGACAAGTTTAGGAGAGGGGGATGTGGGAATTGAGGCTGGCCCGCTGCCTTTGCGCGGGCTTTCCCGCCTTTTCTGCCATTCTCATGTCCCGACATGTCTGCCCTCCTTTGCTGTCTGCCGCGCTGGGAAGGGCGGAGTGACGTTTAACTCCCTCACCCGGTAGCGGATGTTGACTGTGGCGCCGCGCGCGGGGACTCGCAAGAGGTTTTCGCGCGCTGCGTCGGGAGCGGCGAGTACAGTCCGGGACTTCAAACGGTGAGCCACGCATTCTTTTCCGTCCGTCGAGTCCCGTCGCTCGGGCTCGTCGGACTTCGCTGACGGCGCCTCGCGCCCGATGCGAACGCTCACCTTTTGTTGCCCCGCTGCGTACTCACGGCCGAAGGGCAGTACGGTGTCCTAGTGCGTGGCCTAGCTACGCCGACCCGTCTCCCTTCGAAGCCAACGCGAGCGCCTTTGCCCTCGCTCGAGCAAACCGGGCCCCTTTGTCCCGGTGTCTCCGTGGATTACCTTTACCGCGGAGACGTGCTCGTGGCACCCTGTGTAGTACTTTGTGCCCGTGGCGTGGATAAGCCTATTTGCTTTCCCGCCGCGCCTTTTTGCAACGGGCTGTACTGCGTTTGGTGTTGCCACAATAAAGTGTTGCGACTTGAGCAGTATCGTGTTTCCCGCCACGGTGACGGTTAACGCGTGCCCTGCGGCTCGCTGAGACCGGACCCACGCTGGTGGCCGTACTCCTTCGGGATACGTGTACACCACAGTTGTTGTACATTACTTTCGTTTTCTGCAGATTAATTTAAGACCCACCTTTTTGCTCTTTGTCTAACTCCGTAATCATGAGTTGCAATCCGTTCCCTGAGTTACTCAGCAATGCAATGTCATCAGCAGCCCCAAATTAAAGTATTCTATGTATTCTAGTGACTGTATTCCGAGATACTTTTTCTTCGTTTTGCTAATGTATCTCCAAAGTATTCTGTTACGTAAAAGACATTATCTCAGTATCTGTATTTCAGACTTTCAGTGCATGCTTATCAATATCTGTAATTCCAGAATAGTTTTTGGGATATCTCTGTCCAGCCCTGGTACCATAAGTTCATCTCTGCCCAACCCTGGCACCGAAGTTCAGCGGCACAGTAAACTTTTATAGCACGAAACAAAAAGTTACTATGGTAAACAGCACGTTTTAAGCACTAACCAGACGGCATACAAAAAGCCACTACGATCTAACCAGTCAGCGAATGCCTTAGTTTGTATTAGACTCCACCGGGCATTCTTCACAACTGTGCTTAAACCATTAGAAGATTAAGCAGGTACGTATAATAAGGTTTGACTATTTATATTTACCATTTCTCAAAGACACAGAAATGTGGCATCCAATTCTGCGAGATCGCCAATATATTTTCTCGACATCAGCAATAACAGTGCTCATAATTATATGGCATGTGCAAGTATGTCAGAACAAAATGTGCTGTGTGCCATGACAGCTAACTACCCTTCTCATTCTCAATGTTTTACCACTATCAAACGGTTGCTCTCGATCACTATCGGGACCGATCGTGTTTAGGTTTGATACAACCAGGTGTTGTCGAATGGCCCCTTTTAATCGCAATATGGCTCCCAGATCGAGATTTCGGTGTCGTCTACGCCAAACTCGACCCACATTTGTCTCCACTGTGTAGCAGACACCACTGTTGATCACACTCAAGAAACCTGATACAGATAGGCTCCGACCGCAGTAAAAAATGCCCGTCTGACATGGCTAATAATACACTTTTGGACGACGCCAGTTTAACACGGCAAACATGACTTAAAAAATGCTCGTCACGCGATAGTTCAAGGCCAGAAAAGTTTAGAGCCACTGTTCTCAGGTCTTATCTTGCAATTCAGTTGGGGATATTTGCCAGGAGATATACAGCCATGTCCATGTGATTAGGAGGCCTACTCAAAGTTCAGGAGTCTCCCGCTCAGATCAAGAATGTGGCAGGCGTGCAAGCAAATCTGTGTTTGGTCGTGGAACATTGCAGTATAAAAAAGAGCAGACTGAAAACAAGGACATCAGCAAAGGTGACAGCGACACTGCAGAACTACAGTGTCCACTGCGAATAATTTTAATCATTTGGATTCTTCAAACATATACACGCTACGGTTAGTTGAACAATAACCTTGACATGACGTTAACCCTTTAACACATAAACCCTCATTTCTTCTGCTGGGAAAAACAAAATTGGGCAAATGTTTCCCTACGCCTCATAGCCTCACTCTTTTAAAGAATCTTATGACCCAACTTTTGTGATACAATGTTATTGTGCGATGAATATATTCAAACACTGCTTCAATGCCAGAAAACATGAGAACAACATTGGTAAAGACCAGCATAAGAGTTGCAAATACTGCCTCAAGATAATTGTGTTTTTTCTAGCGGCTCTAGTGCTCAAGAGCCTCATTATTATTAGATGAAGGAGCAGCAAGAATTACTTCGTTACGTCTGCCAAATCATTACATACATACCCACCTAACACAAAGTCACTGCAACATATGCCTAACATTCAAAGCAAATGGCAACATGGTCTGCCGTACCACTGCACAGCAACAACATGTGCAATGGAATTTAATAAGCACCAGTGTATAGGTCCAGCCATGGCCATGGCCTTTGAGATCACAACAGTGCAATCGAGGAATGTCGCAGCTAGGCGTACTCGCAACCAGCCTTTTGTTATGCCACAAAGCAGTGCGTTAAGCTACAACCATGACACAAAAGAGTCGGACACTTTGGTGTCATTGAACAATCTACACTCAAAACTAAATACCGGTTATAACGAAGTAAATAAATGCAGTCTCGCAATAAATATAGTATCAGGTATGAACCTTAATAACGAGTCTTCAGATATAACGAACTCATTTTCGTGTAATACGCAACCAAGTTATAATGAGGTTTCAGTGTAGAGTTTGGCAGAAGCACCAGCAGTGAGCATTGTAATTGGACTACTCGAGTCCTTTCAGCAGTATTTTGAAGATTTTTAGACAGCAATAATAAAAACCAAGTTAGAAAACTTTGTGGCCTGCATCAATAATATCTTACGATCCAAAAATAAATGCGGAAATCTCGTACTCACTTGTTCTGTAAGCGTAGCGTCTTTTTCAAGGAATTGAACCACACAGTACGCCAGCTGCAAGTTGAAAAAAAAAAAAGAGAGAGAGAGACATCAGTCAATGTGCCATATTCATTTGCCCTAAAATGCTGAGCAATTTGTAAAATGCTGTAAATTGCAGAGCATTTTCGTTACAAACGTGTTCAACTGTACTCGCTTCTTCTACACTTTCATAACATGCCTCTCGCCTCTCAACTTTCCCGAATCGAAGGCTACAAAAATCCTTTTCCCATGGTATCGCAAGATCTAACTCACCGAATGGGGATGGTAATATACTCCCTTTTTCTATGGTACCGAAACACGCCTCCAGAACTCTCCAAATGTGGGTGAAAAATAGTAAAACTTCAACTATACGTGCCCTAGTTTCGCGACAACCCGGATTTTACGACGAATCAGTTAGGTCCCCGCGAAATCCCCATACAAATCATGTATGTATAAAAAACATCGGTTAAATGACGCAGTTTTACGCCAACAACATCTTGCGACTTTCCGATTCCGTCCGGGAAAAAAAAAAAAAGACAGCCTTTACTCGAATCAAACGTCGACCCAATATTTACAAGTGCAAAATATGAACTTGTGTTCCCCTAGGTTGACAACTGGAAAAATAGAGATAGGATGTCCTTCTTAGAGGGGAAAATTTATTCTCCAGGAAATTAATGCACTTCTACCTACACCTCGATCATGTGTGTACGTATCCGGAATCGTTACCTAGTCAAGCTCTACACACTGAGATTACCTTCAGACAGCCGAAAGCCTACATTTTCTCGTTCTCGGTCCATGGAAACCTTTCCTGGCCAACACACAGCTGATCTGCCTTTGTCACACTCACAGGCTTGTGCACGCATAAGGGCGAAACAATACTGTTGTCACCATACAAAATTACTTTCACTTGACATTGATAATAAGAGCGGGACAGCACTATTCGAACTTCACAAGGGGACAAGTTACATCCAGTACATCTCAGTCGCGCTAAAAGGCATTCTATGCAAACTCGTGGTCCGTCACCATTATGTGATAGCGATGACACTGTGCCTGACTCTTCTGGTGGGAGGCTGTTGGCAATGCAGTTTCGTTTTCATGCGCGGGCAATTTTCAGACTATTTATTGGTAGAAATATGCTCGTTAGCTTTGATTTTTTAAAAGTTGAGAATAAAGATTCGCTCGCACCTTCTTCAACTAAATAATGCTGCCATCAGCTGCCACCAGCATGAATAATGTAATCTACCTTCCTTGCAGAGACACAAGGTCATGCCGTGGGCTTGTTCAGGCAGTCTGCACCCATTCTTTTTAGGGGGGGGGCAAGGCCGAGTGTCATTGCCTATATCATCGGTTTTTCGATTATATGACGGTTTTCCGTGGTCTCCTGAAAGTCATGTGATTAGCGTGCATTCCACTCTATTCCCTTTCTTTAGTATCACAACTTGGCCCCAGAACTCCCCCCAGCGAGGGAGTAAACCACCGAAAGTACACACACCTGTGCATGGTATAGCCCGAGGCACTTGGGCTTGTGGAGAGGGATGAGCACCTTGACCAGGAACTGCTTGTGCTCAGCCTTGAGGGGCAGCGCAAAGCCGTTGATGATCGAGCCCAGGATCTCCAGCAGCTCGCCCACCCCGTTGAAGTGCTCAGTCTCGTAGATAAACCGCAGGAATATGTTGTTAATCTGCTTACGGATGAACGCCCGCAGCCCGAGGAACTTGCCGTAAATCCGGTGCAGCACAGTCTTCAAAAAGTCCCGCTCTCGCGGGTCCTCGCTGTCAAAGAGCTCGAGAAGCTGCGCATGCGTCAAAGGCCCCTGCTGTGTCAAGCAAACTCTAGCACAATAAAAAAAGCAACGTAACAACTACATTATAGCGCTAAAATACGGGCTTTTCGTCATGTCATCTTGGATCACTACCCTTAATTTCATACATCAGGCACACTGCTATGGAAACTGCACAATAAGCTCCGTCAGCAAAATGTGCAATAAGCGTGTCTCACATTTAGACTGTCACCGCAAATGTATCCTCCGTGATCAGCTCCAGCTACACACTACCGGAACTAACCACGAATGTTACAATATGAAAGCAAAGAGGCTAAGCAACCTAGAACAACTCATTGAAAACCATATAAATAATGGGGTTTGTTTGTCCCGCCACGGTGGTCTAGTGGCTAAGGTACTCGGCTGCTGACCGCAGGTTGTGGGATCGAATCCCGGCTGTGGTGGCTGCATTTCCGATGGAGGCAGAAATGTTGTAGGCCCGTGTACTCAGATTTGGGTGCACGTTAAAAAACCCCAGGTGGTCGAAATTTCCGAAGCCTTTATCTACGGCATCTCTCATAATCATATGGTGGTTTTGGGACGTTAAACCCCACAAATCGATGGGGTTTGTTTATTTCTAAGGCCCAAAGCATCATTTCTTCACCAGTACAGCACAAAATAGTTCTCATTTCGCTTCATTACATGAAGCAAAATGACAACTATTTTTTGGTTAGGACCCATCTACAACAAGAAGTCTCACTAGTTACCATATCATTGCAGGTGATGTATGAAATAGAATAGTCTAGTGACACCAAAACGACTTTTAACTGCAAAGCCAATATGACACACGGTACAGAGTCAGCAACACCCACCTGTAAAACGAACTTCTGGTCTATGACTCTCTTTCCGTGTGCAGGCTGGAAGTCTGGCGACTCCAAAAACCGCAAGAAAAACTCGTACACAAGCTGCAAGAGTGGAGAAAAACAAACGACATGACACACTTGTGAGAAAGCTTGGGCGAGTGCAACAGCATATAGCATTCGCGAAAGGCACGACACAGCTCCATCAGGGTCACCACCTCTTCTCAAAAAAAAGAAAAAAAAACGGCCCTTCAACGGGAGGGGGGGGGGGGGGAATGAGTGACCCGGAAATTGGAGAGAATAAAATGAGGGAAAGGCAGGGAGGTTAACCGGAAAATGGAGCATTCGGTTTGCTACCCTGCACTAGGAGAAGAGGGAATGGGGAAGAAAGATTGAAAAGAAAGCAAAGAGGGAAATAGACGTGCGCGAAAGAAAAAGAAAAGGGAATGGGGGGGGGGGGGGAGCTGGGGTGCTACAGTCTATACAATAGGCCGCTGCCACGAAAAAAGTTCAGTAAGGCCTTCACTGATTTTCTGTGAGCACACAAATCATGTTGTCTTTCCAGCACTGATTGTTCAGACAAAGGTCTGTCGTCAAGGCGAGCTAACGCAGCAGCTAGTTGCCGTCTGCACGCTGTAACGAGGGCAGTGACAGAAAACGTGCTCTATAGTTTCATCGCGGCCGCAATGACAGCAAGCAGCACTGTCTTCCATGCCGATTCGGAAGGTGAAAGCTTTGGTGAAGGCGACACCAAGCCATAGTCGGCAAAGCACCATTGTCTCGAGTCGGGAGAGTCCAGACGGAGGCCGGAGTCGATGAGACGTGTCCAGTCTACGCAGTCGCGTGTGCCGTAAGCACTCGGTGTTCCACAGGGATTTTAATTCTGCATTAGCGATTTTTCGGATGGTCATTGCAGCATCAGTCCTTGAAAATGGTATAGATTTTTCTTCACCATCTTCGTGTGCTGATCGGGCAGCTGCATCGGCATGTTCGTTGCCCAATATGACGCAGTGACTTGGAAGCCACTGAAACGTGATTCTGTGTTCTTCGTAGAAGAGGTGGTGAAGCAGCTCTCTAATTTCCAGCACTAGTTGTTCATGAGGTCCCCGGCGTAAGGCGAATGTCAAACACTGTAGTGCTGCCTTAGAGTCCGTGAACACGCTCCATTTCTTGGCTTCTTGGAGAAACCCGGAAATTAAATTAGTGTCAATGGATGCTGTGTCATGTCTTCGGCATGAAGTGCCATTTAATGTAACATTAACATTGCTTTCGTAGAGCCAAATGTGTCAGTTGTACAAACAAGAAAAATGGTACACTGAGCTAACATTTGTCTATTTGCTGGCATAAAAATACCTATAACTAGAATAATGATTCGATTACTGCTTTGAAAAAAATAACTCGGCCATGACAGCGAGTGCGGACCAGCAACCAGCACGCCGTCTAAAAAGACCAGTGAACCGGTCTAAAACTGGACAGGTGGCAATGCTAGTTCCAACCACACTACTGTGCACTGCGCCACTTAATTCAGCCACTAGTTCGTGGGGCTGTAAACAGCCAATGACAGGTTTTGCAGTGCTTCAACAAGAGTATCAAAGGAGAAAGTAGATCGGGCTTAAATTGTAGGAGAGCATTAAAGGTACAGTGTGACAGCGCTCACACGGGAATATGATATCTTTTGGACAAGTATAATCACTAAAAACAAGCTCCAAAAGACAGCGGCATCTCACAGAAAGCCGGCTTTAGACTTACTTAAATGTTGCCTTACTTAAATGTGCATCGACAATGCTTACAGGTTATATCACTTGTCTGATTCAAAGCACAGCAAGAGTCAAAAATACCAGCCAACTTCAAAATGTGCAATCTTAGTACATTCAATGTATCTTTAAGAGAATAAGGTGAATTAGGCGTGCCTCACATGGCTTTCACCTGTATCTTGTTGGTAGTACCTAAAGGTATGCCGTGACCTTTTTCAATTACTGTTCATCAAGACGTGCAAATTCTTCATTTGAGAGCCCTTATTTTAACAGAGTGTGAAATTCCCTCTTACCTGCAGATGCGGCCAAGAAGCCTCTAACGTTGGGTCGTCCTCTTCAGGGTCAAAATCTGGGTTTTCACTGGGAGGTAGTGTCCGAAAGAGGTTCGCAGATATCTGTGGAGAGCAGAGAAGCAAAGCGAAGCTTAGCAGTGCTCCACACAGACGTGTACAAGCCCACTACAATGCAAAAGTGCAACTTTCCTTTCAACCTGTCAGGATTCAAGCACAGCTATGAGGAGAGGTTTAATAGAGCAGCAAACTTGGATCGAACTGCGGCATCACTTCAAACTACATAACTTTAGCCCTGTTCAGTGGAAACTCATATGTGCTATTCTGCACTTTCTGCCTTTCCCGGCCAATGCCGCATTAAATTTTCATATGTGGTGACGTGTAACTTCATGCAGTTAATAGGTACGTGTATTTCCATGCAGCTATCTGACCACATTTCCACCTGAAATTGAATGCAGAAGTGGGCTATTACTGCTACTTCTAAACTTGTAGCTCTATATACGAAATTACCATTTTTAATCAGTTTCTCGTTCACTGTGCGCGTGCCGAGACGTTTTCAAGAGTGTCCTCAAAACAACTTGCCCAATTTCTTTTACCATTGCTACTTTAAATATGCCCATTTTAAATGAAATTCATCACAAAGGCCCACTTCAGTGAGGAAACTGAAACCAATGACACACTATTCCAAAGTTTCTAATAACAGTATATTGACTGTGGCTCACATAAAGTTGTGTGATGCTGCTCTGCATAATTTCTGATTCGGGGCATCATCATTCATGCTTTCTGGAGCTTTCTTTAGATAACACAATTTCTGGATATAACTATCGATTCCCGTGATGTTTGTAGCAATGACATATCAGTTCAAAATTGCCTTGATGCCAGAGCAGAAGTACGAACTTGTTTAGAATGTACCGATGTTGGCTAGTGACGAAAGCTCATGGTAACGCTAGAGTCCTTCAATACCTTTACTGGTCATGACATTTCAGCTTAGCTCTATGAGAGACCTTTGTGCGCTGCAAGCAGAGGCCGCAGCAGGGCAGCGTTGCATTCTAGCCGGGAGCATCGGGCAGACAGCGGACGATTGCTATGGTGGCATGTTCCCACATGTATTTTATCGTATGTTTGCTGCTGTGTGTGTTGTGCATGTGGTGCCTGAAGGCCGAAAACGATGAGGCATACACGCTGCATGCCTGGGTGTCGATACGGTTACGAGGGCAACGACGGAAAAAACATGGGTGATCGGTATAACACAAAAGTAAAACGTCGCCTTACTAATGATTAAACATGCCCTTGTGGTCATAGATACCTGCAGTAGCTGTAGTAGTTAACGGTGAAAGCTGTGTCACAACCAGAAGAGAGTGACTGATTGGACGCCAAAGTTGGACTAAGGTCACCTGCTCACGGCATGTTAGAGTTATTGAACAGAGCATAAAGGTCTACTTCTCTCCTGTTCCTCGTCCTTTTTTTTGCGCTCGACCTTTATGCTTGGACATGCACTAACTCGCCCAGCAACGCATTTTATTGAACGCCACTGCCCAATTAGAAGGGAACACAATGCACATTGTGTCTTCCCTCTTGCTGGCCACGACTTCTTTTCGTGGCGAGCATAAGCGGCAAACGCGGAGTTACATCCAGGCAAAGCAAGCGCTTTGCTCTATGCATTGCAGAACTATTTTTGGTATGGATGGACGCTATGAGCCACGTCGATGCTTTGGGTAGGGGTTGCCACCTGGCAGTGTGTTAAAGCGACAAAATTACACTCTTATTGTGAGGTACCGAATAGGATGGACGCATAGAAATGACGCGTAGAAGAAACTGATCGTGGATTCCGAGTCATAATGAATTATTACACCCTACGAAGAGTAATGCGAGAGGGCATCGGTAAATATAGAAGGTATTTTTTAGAGCGTACAAAGTATGTGCTTTCTGAATACACAGCTCACTTGCGCTATGTGTGTGCGTGCCGGCTGTTTCCCTGCAAGTGAATCGAGAAGCAATTCCTCTTAAGTGACGGTCGACTGCCTAAGAATCCTAATCCGATTCCTTGGATGCCAGCTTGTCATACCAAGAGTCACATTCGAGTTATGACTCAGATTCTGATGAATGAGCGACATTTCATGAGCATCTGCGTCAAGACAATGCTGGCTGGATCAAAGGCCACTTTTCTCCCCTGTGTTTCCATGTGACACCGTTTTGTACACTTATTTTTATATCTCTGTGAACTATGTTTATTTTTGTAGTGAGTAATTTTTCAAGAGTTATATACTTTTTTGGATGTCATCTTGCAATTACTCATGAATAAAGCATTTGATTGTACAAAAAAAAAAAAACTTTCTGTTAGACTATGGGCAACCTAAAAAAAATTTGGATTTTTTAATGCACTCATCTAAAGAACTTGAATAAACAGCAAAAAAAAAAAGGAAACATACCCTGCAGAGTCGCACTGGAAAAACAAAGTCACCCCTTAAAAAGGTTAAGTTCAATCAATTAAGAAGATAGGTCTAAATTTTAAGGGCTCATTTTGTTTACTAGACACGATATCGATGAGAACAAGTGGACAATGATGCAAAGTATAGGGGATGTTACTAGAAATACAGTTAAACCCCTTTATAAGAGACATGCTCCGAGCAGCAATTCGTGTCTTATATATGAGATGTCTCTTATGAGCAGGGTACCTCATATGCATTTTCTTAAGAGGAGATGCGAGCCGAAAACTCGAGTTTTTAGCGAGCTTTCTTGTATTTTTGGTTTTTACAGAATTGTAATCCTCAACCCTTCTTCTATCATCTGTGAAACTTTCAAAAAAAAGTCGCACAGAAAAATGCAAAATAATGTGTATAAAGGCGTGGCGGTGGCTCTAAATTTTGCGAATTTCCGCCAATATTAGCCACCTTTGAATACGTGCTGCACCCCGTTGCAGCGCCGCCCGGCGTAGCGACCAGTTGGGAAAGTTGCGTTCGGCCTCCTTTTAGCTCTGACAACCGCCAGTTTCGTACGTGAGCAAGAAAATATAAAAAACAAAGCTTTTTTACCATGGGGTTTGAGCTGTTTGAAACGTGCAGCACTTTGAGCCACATCACCATTGGCTACCGAGTCAGTGCCGACGGTACGGTGACGGCCATCAGCATAAGGTCCGTCTGCTTATCTGCGCGTCTATGCATATAAAATGTGAAGGCGGTGGTGACTGCACGTGCTGTTGGCATCGGGCATGAGCAACTGTCGAGATTTTGCGACTGACAGATGAGAAGCTCCTTGCTCGATGCATTCAAGGGAAAACCCAAAATGCGTCGGAATCCCTGAACAACAAGACATGGCTACTTTGCCCCAAGACCAAGTTTTTCTCTTGAACAGTTGTCAAGACTGCGGAAGCTATTGCAATCCTGTGGTTTAATAAGGGTCATGCTAGTTTCGAGCACATCCTGGAAGAGCTGAACATACTCCTATCTAGGAATCTAGTTGCTTTCAGCCATTCCTGGGATGTGAAGTGCATCAAGAGGATGTCCGGGCGTTTGACAGCAGAAGCAAGGGCCACCGTCGTAGTGCCGTGAAAAGAACACAGCTCAAAGAGTGTGCTCGCAAGGACCGTGAAGGCACCACCTATGCTACAGTACAGTTCTAATAACTTTCACTACTTGTCAAAGTTCCCTTGAACATTATGGCCAAAGATTATGCATTTCTGACAACTCTATGGTAAAAAAGATGTTTCAAACTTTCAAATGCATTTTTCTTCTTTTGCAGTTTTGTGTGATCTGTGCTGCTTATGCAGGCTAGTTAGTATACGTAGTATAATAAAGAATTGAGACAGTCAGAACTATTATTTCAGACGAGGTAGGAGCGTAGGCCAAGCCAGCGAAAGCAGCGACAATGTCCGCGGCGAGCGTCTCATGCTTAGCACTGACGATGTGTTTTTCGAGTTATGCATGACCCACTACTTCTTCATTACATATTTCCCCCTTGCTGAAGACGGAGCCAAGTAGGTGTTCTAAGGTGTCGTGAGGACAAGTGGTTCGTGATACGGTTTGAGACGATCCACGTGTACGATTTCGCAGCCTCAGCGACACAGGTCCGGAGTGGGCGTGAGCGGTTCGATGAGGTAGTTGACAGCGGAAGTTCGCTGTATGATGCGATAAGGCCCGTGGTACCTGCTGACGAACTTTGTAGAGGTACCAGGAGCAGCAGCGGGAGGCACCCACAGCCAAACAAGAGAGTTGGGTGAAAACTGGTAGTGGGACCGTCCATCGTCGTGACGAAATTTCTGTAGCCCTTACTCTTGTGTTGTAAGGGTGCAAACTAATAGCCGACATTCTTCCACATACCGAGCGGCTTCGGAAACTGGTGTGCCTTCGAATGAGTCGGGTCGGTAGGGAAGAATGGTGTCGATTGGAGATTATGGCTCTCGACCATAGAGTAACAAGAAGGGAAAAACACCGGTCGTCGCTTGAGGCGCCGTGTTGTAAGCGTACGTTACGTAGGGAAGAATAAGATCCCAGTTAGTGTGGTCGGAGGCGACATACATAGAAAGCATGTCGTCAAGAGTGCGGTTGAAATGTTCGGTCAAGCCATTCGTTTGCGGACAATATGTGGTAGTACAGCGGTGAGCCACATGGCATTCAGCAAGAAGCTTTTAAATTACACCTATGAGAAAGACGCGGCCTCGGTCGCTCAAAAGTTCACGCGGAGCGCCGTGACGAAGAACAAAACGTTGGAGCAGGAGAGACGCAACGTCATGTGCTGTCTCGGCTGATAGAACGGCCGTTTCTGCATATCTAGTGAGATGGTCGATTGCTACAATAATCCAGCGATTCCCAGCTGATGTATATGGCAGAGGTCAATAAAGGTCTATTCCGACCCGGTCGAATGGTCGCACTGGGCACGGTAACGGCTGCATTGGTGCAGTAGGATGGCTAGGATCGTGCTTGCAATCTATCTGAGACCGCAAGACAGTAGCGCGCGGAGGGATTTGGGTGTCGTCACTAATGACCAACTTTGCGTAGGAAGAGTGATCGTCCGCAGGTAGGGCATCACCAAGGGGACAAAAACCAAGGGGACAAAAACCAAGGGGACAAAAAACGACTTCGGCACGAGCGCAATCATCATCATCATCA